GGAGGAGGAGGAGGAGGAGGAAGACAACTGCGGGGTCCTTGGTGCTCTCTGAGCTTGATGGAGATTTTTTTGAAGACATTTCATTAACCTCACTATGTAACATCATCAGTGCTAGAAGGAAGTGGGGTTTGCTCTCTATGAGCACTGATCATGCTACCCAGTTAGGTCACGAAACGCTTGCAAGGAAACCACCAAGCTCAGAGACCCCCAAAGACCCTCAGTCCTCCTCCTCCTCCTCCTCCTCCTCCTCCTCTCTGCAATCCGCCCCCCCTTTTTTAGCATTGATGATGCTACCTAGTTGGGTCATGAAACATCCACAAGAAAACCACCAAGTTCAGACAGTGCCAAGAACTTCGCAGTTCAACCCTGAGCTGCAAATATTCTTTTCCACTCATACACCTTTTAATGAAACTCCTTTTCTCCCGTGACAGTGGGACCTGGTTTGCGACCGGCTTAAACTTCGGGAGATGGCGCAGTCCATTTACATGGCGGGGGTGCTGATTGGCGCTCTGGTCCTAGGCGGCCTGGCTGACAGGTATGTTGGTCAGCAGGGGGCAGCACTGGGAGAAAGAGGTGAGTAGCGGGCGAACTCCGGTGGTCAGGGCACCACGCAGGGATCAAATCACTTTTTTTTTTACTCCCACCAGTAGACTGAGAAGTGCAGTTTGGGTGTTGGGCACAAGGGGGCACTAACTGCTTCTTACTTGAGGTCTGATTGACACCTGCAATGAGATTCCTTCTCTTTGGAAGTCTGTAGAGATTCTCCGTCATCCAAGGCCATGGTCATCCCAAAGGTGCTTTTTTCAGGAGGCAACTGGACTTTCTTGGTTTTTTCTTTTGAAGACGTTTCACTTCTCATCCAAGAAGCTTCTTCAGCTCTGTCAGAATGGAGACGAATGGAAGGATTGATCCTCCTTGCAGACAGCTGGTCATTTGCATCCTTTTAGAGGGTCGTTGAGGCCACTTGGAGGTTTATTTGTGTCTCCAGGGTCATCTGAGTGGTGCCAATGGTTCCTGTAGTCTGCACTTTCCCCCCCTCTAGAAATCCATTCCTAGTCCCACACCGTTCCAAGGGTGCCCATCCCAAATTATATCAGTAAAAGGAAATGGATCAAATCTTTCCAGATGTTGATTAATTATTGATTAACAGCCAATGCCGTGTATAAGTGAAGAATTATTTTTGTGCTGGTTTGGGGTGTGAGGTTCTGCTCAAAACAGTTTCGAAATCAGCAACTGTCGATCAACTCTTATTGAGATCATAGACCAGCATAAGATGGGTGGCATACACACAATAATTTTAAAAGTTAAAAAAAAAAAAAAGTTAAAAAAGACTCTATCTAGAGAGATACATGAAGGAAGGAAGGAAGGAAGGAAGGAAGGAAGGAAGGAAGGAAGGAAGGAAGGATAGATAGATACTGATGATGGATGGAAGGAAAGATAGATAGATAAGAGAGAGAAATAGATATAGATAGATAGATAGATAGATAGATAGATAGATA